TTCAGTGTTATGGTATTATTCTTTTGTTCGACATTAAATAAAATCAATTTGCAACAATGCCTAAATGCCTTATGGGATGTGGTGTAAGGAAAAGTTTAAATCAGATTAATATAACACTGATCAAAACATTAAAATATGGCAAAATTCTGAGGTTTTTCAATATATTTTTTTCTCAAAAACTATGCATTTCCACATGTTGAAACTTTACGTGAGTGCTTATAATAGTGTAACCTTTCTTAGTAAAATTAGCAACCCCCAACTCAACGGTTGTCAATGGAAAGCTAAGCCTTAGGTTAGGTACAAAGTAAGTCACAGATCTGACAGAGTGCCCCAATTCCCTTTGCACTTTTTGTGTAATCCATTAATTTACACAGTAAGAGGTTGTTCATTTACAGAAAAGTAAAGGCTGCTGAATCACTATTACTACTACATAACTTTGTATCACCATCTTGGGAGTAGGATTTGGGTGATCCATCCCAAACATTATTTTGTATCCAACATGAATAGTGCTCATGATGGGCTCAGTATGGTTAATATTTAAAGCTGGAAAATCTAGGTTTCCTAATCTACCTCGATTTTTTTAATAGATCGGCCCTTAGAATAGTAGACTGCCTTAAATATCTTAGGCTCATCATAATAGGGGGGACCTTAAAGATAATGAGGATATTGAATGTGAATACAGAGAGCTGGCATTTTTTAAAGATATTGGCCTTTTTAAACCTATCAAGTGGTCTGAGGGTTAACTATAATATGAAGCCATGTTCACATGTTCTATATAATAATACTTATACAACGTTGTTGGAGCTGCTGCAATGTCTCTGATACATTCACAAAAGCAAGAACTGATGATTTTTATACCATAATGTGCAAAAAAACCTCTTCTCTTGAGCTCAGATTTTGTGGCAGTGCCAAAAGTAAATAGTTTTCAATCAGATGAACTGTCCCCTATCCAAAAATTCTGGATGGAGCAGTCAATTGGTTTATTAAAATAGTTTTAGCTATAAGATATAGTGGTGAAAATAATATTTTCAATAGGTATTTGTTTTTTTTTTTTTCAATTTTTTCTTATAAATTCTGCAGTTAATTCAAATTTATTACATTAGAAATTTAGTAAAGTATCAGCCTATACATGTCCCACTGCTGGACAATGGCCTCTGTACAGGTATCAGTGCGTAGTCCACCACGCGGCCCCACTGCGGATTGGCGGACTTCACATATCTTCGAAAATATGCCGTCTCCTCACGATGTTTCCCTTCACCACTGAGCACGTAATAATCCAGCACTCAAAATTGACAACTTCATTGGTGCTGGCACTGGATCAAACTCAGGTTGCTCAAGTATAGTAAATTAAAGGCGAGCACCCGGACACAGCTATCACGGCTCACCTTAGAAATGCAATTAATTTAATATAATTCTTTTTTTATATTTGTTCAGTTTTAATTTTGATTGCAGTTAAATAGTGAAAGCAGTATACATGGATAATCATTTAAAAAAAATGTGTTTTATATGTAATAAATTGTTTTTATGTTTACTTGTTTTTTATAGTTTGTAAGTATACAGGGTGATTTTAATAGAGCATATGCAGAATTTCATTCTAAATCTGAATCTGGTATGTACTTGTGACCTCATTTTTTTTTTCAAAGCATTTTTAATTTTTTCAAACATTATGGATACCCTATTAGAAATTCCTGCCTTACCGTCTCAAAACAACCTATTCACGTGCACTAAAACTTTTCGCTGAACGCATATCTACGAAACCGCTCATCAATAGGGAGACCACTCTTAACGGGACAAACAATGTTTGAATTGATATAATATGTTCCTGGTTCTTTTTGGTTAAAATAAAACATTAATGTTTTTTTAAATTATGGAATGCTCAATTAACATTATTTCAAAGTATGTACTTAGTCTAAAAAATCATCCTGTATAATAACTAATAACTTTTACCTGACATAAAGAATCATTATTATCCATATTCTTCAATATTTTCCCATTGTACATGAAAAACACTAAACTTTATAGTGCAGTTTTTATTGTTATTTATCCTGATGTATAGATAAACTATGTCAATAGTAACATGTGGTTTTATATTGTGCAATAAAACTTTATATTGTAGATGGAGGAAAGATGCATGGATCTCAGCGAGTGATAATGTTTTGTCTTTTGACAACTGTTCTGCCAACAACATTAATTGTATCATCATTATATCTGAGAAATATAAGATATGCAGATGTTATGTATAAAATATCAGATTCTGATGTAATCCAAATTCACAAAGGTCAATCATCAATTTTTTGTGAAAAACATTCCTTGAAAATGAATTATACATTTAATGCATTCCAAATGAAAGGTAGGCCTGAGCTATCTAACAAAACAAGACATATTAAATTAAGTAAGTCTATGACTTTACCAGATGACACTTTGGAATATTGGGGATTTTTTTTGTTTGCTGGAGCAACAGTAGAATTAAAAGCATGTTCTAGATATGATGGCTCAAAAATATTAGTAGTTAAGGGAAATAATATCCTTGATACTTGTGGAATCTTAGATGGAAGTAAATACCGAAAAGACCCATTTGTTGAAAATCCAGGTCAAGTGTCAGTGACTTTGGAAAGTCCTAAAGAATATCGGAGGACGAAATCAGACACTTCATTAAAAAATTATGAAAATAATATAGAAGAACAATCAAATGAGCAAGTACATTCCAATAAAACCATTAAAAAGAGATCAGTTCAAAGCATGCCATTACATAATCCTAATACTGTTTTAGATACTGGTGTATATCATGGTGGCAATGCAAACAAAGCCCCAAATGTAACAGAAGATACATCTGTATCAAGCTTCGAAAATAATTTACATGAATGCTACCAGGATAATATTCTCATGACTAACTTTTTCCCATATTCTAAGGAATGTAATAATACTAGTTATTTAGAGAACACTACCATATTAAAAGTAGAGCATAGAGTACAAACAGATGGTTATTATTATTATATATTTTATAGTGACAATGATATGGTGAGAAATGATATTCATGCAATATTTGATATTTACAAACCAACATTCCAATACACAAACATGTCAGATTCAAAGGTTTGTCTTAACAGCACAGAATGTGAATTTGACATAAGTATGTTCAGTGATGAATTAGTTATTGTAGAAGTGCCTACTATTGATGGTTTTAAAAATGATAACTCTTTTATATTAACTTCAATCTGCCATCCTCGTACGTCAATCTACATATTTTTCCCAGTGTCTGTGTTGTTGTTAATACTTCTCTTTGCATTTTTATGATATTTTTTGAAAATTTGGTCATATTCTATAATTGTTAAAGTGAATATTATGAGAAATGTGATATTAATTTAGTCATTTTCTACATATGTTGATTTGTTTCATGTTGTTATATTAATCTAATTATACTATTATGAAATTGATCTTTGTTTCATTTTGTGTATTATTAAAATTTCTATTGTCAACAAAAACTTAATCACATTAGTTTACATTAAATTAGATAATTTGTCTGTATTGACAAATTAATGCTCCAGGATTGGATTTCTTCAACAGGAAATTACAAATCTTTAACTATATATGTTAGCATTTTATTGAACTCCAGATAAATAATGTGAACACAACAGTAACACTAAGAGAACGAAACTGCTTAATGGTAAACAATTCTAAGTTTTCACTGGTATTATATATAGCTTATATAGGACTATAAATCATTATGCCGCAACATTATTCTGAAATAGGTTGAGATCCAATATTTCAAATCTATAACCGATTAATTCTTACAGTAGTTCCATTTCAAACCTAAGTTATAAACTGTAAAATTAGGAACCTTAATTACCAACGTCATTATATTTTGAACAAAATTTATTCCAAAAATATAAATAATCCGATATGAACATAAAACCATGTAGAAAACAATAAAATGCAAAAAGTATAAGCAGTATGTATGGGGATACAGGATACAATAAGGACCTGTCAAAAGAAAGTAACTTATTGAGGAAATTTTGATTTATTATTTCCACATAGTTGTGTCCAAAAGTGTGTTCAACAGGCTGAGTAGGTAGGTCTTCTGTAAACAAAATTTATACAATTGAATAAGATGAGTCATGAGAAATTAAGGTTCCCATCGGGAGTGGAGTGCTCAAATATCCTATCAATAACAATACAAATAATATATTTAATTTTATTTATTTACCGTATTACAAAAACAGTTACCATATTATGTACAACTGGAAAATAAAACTGTTACAATACATTATTTCCTTCTAGTACTTTTGTGATTGAAATAGCCTCTCCAGTACCCGATGAGACCTCTCTGCAAGCGGCAGAGGGGCCTACGCGGAACGGGGGCCATCCGGCCGAGCCGGTCTTACTTCTAAGTATATTAAACTTATAATGATACGTCTATAGTATAATGTATTCATTAATTAAACTAAAACAGATATATATCGGTCCAAATAAAATGAGTTCCAATAAAAAATCAGCACAGCAGTACTTAGGAGGCCCCTCCTAATACTCACACCGTATAAATATCGCAATAGAATGCAGGACACAAAGAATGAACCGGAATGCGCAGGCACCTCAGATGAGGTTGGCCACATCATTGGGCATTTCGGTAATAGTTGTATGATAAAAGTCCTCAATATCTTTCAGCGCTCTCTTGTCTGCTTCGGTAACAAAATTAATGGCAATTCCCTTACGGCCGAAACGACCACCTCTTCCAATTCTGAAAGTAAAGTTTATCAGTGATTACTTCAGTCAAACCAAGAAAGTAATTATATTTTGCGAATTTAAATTACCGATGGATGTAGTTTTCACGGTTGGTAGGCAAGTCATAATTGATGACGCATGATACTTGTTGCACATCAATACCACGTGCAAGTAAGTCAGTGGTAATCAAAACGCGGGAGGATCCCGTACGGAACTGTCTCATAATAACCTCACGTTCACGCTGATCCATGTCGCCGTGCATGGCAGACACGGTAAAATCACGTTGATGCATTGATTCCGTGAGCCAGTCCACCTAATAAAGTTCAAATTTTAGAAAAGATAACCTTATAATTTAAAGCGCAAGTAATAAATTATTTTGATAAAAATTTAAATTTACTTTGTTAAGGTTTTATAAATAACATTCTTGAATTTAAGTTCAACAAGAACAAAAAACATTTTTATATAATTAAATTTTGAATGCACAAGTTTAGTTTATGCAGTGTTGGACCCAGCATAAAGTCATCAATCTAGTCATTCTACATACATTATATAGAATGAAACAGAATGTTCTTCTGGTCTTTATTAATTCTATACTTAATTTAAAAAAACATGCAGTGTTCAAAAATGCTGTGAGAGTATTAAACCATTTCAAATTCAGTTCAAAATTGTGTCTGCTTTACTAACACTATTGTTTCATTATTAATTGTTATAGACTGCAACTTGCATGCATAGCTAACTTTAAATTTTTTTGTTAACATAGATAATATATACTTTTTTAAACATTTCTTGAAATACCAAAAAAAAAAAACCTTTTAAAAAAGAAAAATAAATCACAGAATTTACACAAAACATGAAATAACAATGAAGAAAACTTACCTTGCGACGAGTGTTGCAAAAAATGACTGCCTGAGCAATAGAAAGAGTGTCATATAAGTCACAAAGTGTTTCCAGTTTCCAGTCCTCCAGTTCAATTGAAATGAAAAATTGTTTAATACCTTCCAGGGTGAGCTGTGAAAGTAACATTAAAATTTACAAAACAAGTCAATAAACAATTATTATGGTTATTGGTCTTAGTAAAGAAAATCATTTAATATTATTATCACAACAAACAGTTGTCTTACTTAGAACTCAAATTGCATTAGAGAAATTCAATTTGTAAGCAAAGCGATTAAAAGAATTGCAAGCGAAAGGTTACATGGTGCAAACTTGGATAATTGTTAAAAAATAATTATGAATAAAATAAAATAGATATAATGATTTTATACAAAAATTTTCGTTATAACCAACTTGTGTAAAATTCTCTATCTCAATAATCAATCAATAAATTTAATTGGACAGTATTCACCAAGGAAACCATACCAATATGCTTTAGTTAGATCTTTCTCAATAGTAGAGTAGTTGTTACTTGCAATTGGATTATGTATAACACAGCTAATAATATCACCAAGAAACAAACTACAATGCAAGAATTTTTATCAGCAATGGGTGTTTGTCCAGATGAAACATAAAATTATACACATTTTTTTAAAATATGTTAAAAGAACCCAATATACCTCTTCCTTCTGCACGAGAATACGAACTGGGTCCCTCATGAAGCATCGAGAGACCTCCAACACATCATCAGGCATAGTAGCAGAAAGTAAAATAACCTGAACATCGGAAGATAGCATTTTGAATACATCATGGATTTGATCTTTGAACCTGTAATGATTTAAATAGAAGTTAACGGCAACTGCCAATCAAACAATGTGAAATAAATACTTTGTAATTAATAGGATGACTAACCCTCGAGATAACATCTCATCTGCTTCATCTAGTACAAAGAGCTTGATTGTGTTGGCACGCAAAGCCCGACGTGAAATCATGTCGAAAACTCTTCCGGGTGTGCCTACTACAACATGCACTCCACTTTCAAGCTGACGCATATCCTCACGTACATTGGTACCACCAATACAGGCGTGGCATTTAGCATTCAAATGATCTCCAAGCGCTATAACCACCTATAAGATATTAACGCAATGCTAAATAAATAAAAAATCATAAGAAAACTCCAATTTCACTTTAGTTTTGTAGATATAATACATACCTTTTGAATCTGCTGGGCTAATTCCCTGGTAGGGGCCAGAATAAGAGCTTGGCATTCACGAATACTAGTATCGATTTGTTGGAGAATTGAAATGGAAAACGTAGCAGTTTTGCCAGTTCCAGATTGGGCTTGCGCTATGACATCGCGCCCTTCAATGCATGGCATGATCGCTCGTTGTTGGATGGCAGATGGCTTTTCAAAACCATAGGCATATATTCCTCGTAACAATTCTTCCTTCAAATTCATGTCATCAAAGCTTTCCACGACTTGATGCCAATTTGTGTCAAGCGCTTCGTGCTCGACACCGGTGGACCCTTCATAATTATCCTTTGACGGTCCATTTTTAGGATCCTCCGGCCAATTTTCTGATCTGTGAAATTGTTAGTTTTTAGATTTAATAGAGAATTTTATAAGTGGAACTAAAAAATATGGCGTAATGGAATACCTAATGAATCCGAAAAATCATTATTAGCACGGCTGTCAAATTGGCATTACTTTGTTTAGAAAACTTAATGCATAAAAATTTGGAATCTAGCAAAATTATTTAACCGAAGGAAAATGTAGCTTACATGGTCAAAGTTGAAAATCGTAATTACATCAACACTACACGTGCGTTAAGCCGAATTACTAATATTCTCCTGCCAGCGCCATGTTGGCAAATCGACAGCCGTGGAGAATTAATATCGGAAATATATGAAGACAAGAAACCTAATTTAGATTTTATTTAATAAGTAATTCATCTATCATTTTACATCATAATCTTCATAAAAAGAACATCTGTATAACACAAAAACTAGACATACCTTCTTTCAGGTGAATAGGACATGTTCCAATCGCGGTAGCTGAACGGAAAAGAACTAGCAAGGTCAAGTTAAGTTTAACACAGGCTTTTTTATGGCAATATTGCTAAACACTAATTTTGCATAGAATACTTTAAATATAATTTTGAAATATATTAAAATGATTATTGAAATGCAAAGAATTTTGTAAATTGTTCGTATCGCAAGACAACGAAGGATTCCAATTAAATAGGAAATAAAGCGGCGGAAGTACGCAACTCTGCTTCAAAAGTAGTGTTGAAAGCGTGAAAAAGATAAAAGCACCTAAATGGATGTCGAAAGAAAAAAAACGTAGCCATTAAATATTTTGAATATCTAGCAAATTCAGAGGAGATGTGCAACACTATAAAATTATAAAATATATATATTTTTTTAAAGAAAGAATCCAATTATATTATTTCAAATTATTATTAAAATTTAAGCCGGTTCCAGACTTGTGTTTATTTTAAATAAAGCAGGCATAGCATATAAATAAGATGGCGGATACAATGGACGACTGGGTCAAAGCAATAGCATTATATTATTTATGTTGTTTTAATTATTTAATGTAATTTATTATTGAGCTTTCAACATCCTAGGCCTCTGGATCCTACCAAGTGTCTCCGTACCTAAATTTAAATCCCGAAATTTTAGATATATCTATTCTAAAGAATGTTACCTTACGGATGCATTTCTTCATTTTATGTAAGAAGCGGCAAGCGAGCTGCCAGTTTATTTGATGTTAAGTAATAACCGAGGCCCATTGACATTTGCACCACCCGTAGAGTTGCAGATGCATTGCACCTTTTAATTAAGTGAGCTCCGGTTACATCACTCACCAGATGAAACGCAGAAGTAAAACACTTCCACTTCACACTGTTTTTTGTGAGGTCGTGGTACTTCATCGGAGGTATCAGCCCATCCCGTGCAACAGCAAAGATTAATGCCTACCACAGTGAAAAGGAAAAGAAATTCATTAAATATTACTTCCAAGGAGAATTACTCTCCTTGGAAGTAATATTTAATGAAACCACGACCATCGTATGATCATGTTAGTATTACATTGTTGGCCAGGCATGATGGTCATTTCAAGGAATGGGAAACGTTAGGCCAGCGGCTCGAATATACGAGCTCCCCGCACTTAGATAAAATCTTCGATAGGACAGAGTCTCTCGACACCGCCGTCAGGACGATCTATGATCTCACGTCAGACATCCAAATATTCGAACAGGCAGAGAACCTCAGGCAGGACCAACCAAGCACCTTTTTGCGGGAGAAAAACTTGGCCACCCGTGATTTCAATCGATATCGGAATGACACAAGAGGCACCAGGTTGCGCCACCTAAGAGAGGCCAAAAAAGGAGCAGGAGCTACGGAGGAAGTCTTGGACTGGCGTAATTCAATCTTTGCTTACAAATAAATACACAACTGCATAAATTTCTCGAAATATGAGTAAATAGTAGCAATTATTGTTGCTAATAGACATTTTTGTAACTTGATTAGACATTTGTTGTTTAAAATGTATCTTTAGTCTTTAATTAGGAATTATGAGAATTTGTAGATATTTAATCGTCTTCTTGCCATTATTAAAAAGGTTTGCGAAAAATAAACACGGTGCAGAAATGTTTGCAAATGTTTTAATAAACATTTTCGGAAATATTTGTTAAATTACTAGGACAAAATCTATGAGCTCCTACACTTGTTTCTCTACACATGTTTGGTTTAGTATATGCAAAGATGGTGGATACGATTGTAGACTTGGTTGAAGCAGTAGCATTATATTATTTACGTTCTTTTAATAATTTAATATAACTTATTATTTAGCTTTGGACGTCCTAGGCTCCTGGACTCTACCAGGGTGCCTCAGAACCTGAATTAAAATCCCGAAGTTGCCGGGTATGCTCCTTGGAAGTATTTACTGAATTTAACTGTAACCATCACCCTGTCAAATTAGTATAAGGCCGACCCGGCACGAAGGTCCTTGTGCCCGTGACTAACAGAAAAAAGTTCGGTCAGGGGCTCCCCGCACTTAAATAATATGCCCGATAGGATATGTAACATGGATCTCCGATCCATGTTACACATCCAAATATTCATTCCAATCGTGGTAATGAAAGATTGCCGCTTCTATCTGCCGGTAAAACTCAGGCGAGTATTGCGGATGAAAAACGCAAGACGCTCCAGGTTACACTACTTTCAAAGAGAGGTCAAAAAGCACATGCAGGTGCTAAGGAGGAAGAGTTTTGCTCTCCATTCTAGTTGCGATATTTAATGCACTCCTCGACAGCTCCACCTTCGATTTTATTGGCAAGCTCATCGGATGCTTTAACATGCATAGGAACATTCACAAATATGTACACTAATCGCTTTGATATGCATTGAAAAACCGACACCATATGGCTAAATGCTAAACATCAAATAAAATAAGAAATATTTGTGTAAATATTTTGAACTTATCCTCCCATACTTAACATTTGAGGATCTTTATAAACATTTGCACACATGTCTGACCGGCGTTTAATACAAATACTACGCAAAGTTTTTAAATAATTTGGAATATACTTGGAGTTGTTATTGAATTTAGATTTTTATGAAATAAATAGGATAGATAAGTTTAGATCATCTGAAACTAAATATTACAGCTGTAGAGAAAAGAAAATATTTTAATCATCTAATTGAAATTGTGCTAATGATAATTTTGGGAATAAAAGATTTAAGGTATACACATAAATCATACAAATACCGAATACGCTTCCAAAAAAAGGAGGATATATATATATAGATTAGGTTTCATTTTTAGAAAATGTCCCTTTATCCCTGTTTTCAGGGAATGAAAAATATCATTCGAATATGACAATAAATTTCGCTGCAAAAAACATTGTTACAATACCTCGGTCGGTAATCTGGTGGCCCCAAAACAGACAGTCACGGTTCGTATCACGATCATTTAAACACTTTTTTTTTCTATACCAGATCATTTTCTTAATTTTTTATTTTTTTTATTTCCAAAATACATGATTTACCAAAAATAAAAACCGAGCAAAGCGCGGTCCTCCAGGTACTAATTATATTTAAACAAGAAACTGATCAAAATTTATTGATCTAATATTTACAAGATTAATACAAAATTACATATTATCTAATAAACCTAATCCACGCGGCATGGTGCCAAGAACTCTAACTGCATTTCCTCGCTGAATAATTACGCTTAACCTTTGAGCGAGAATAGAACCAGCTCTCAGCCGTGGCGTTAAGCCTAGGACATCAACTTTTAAAAAAAATTGATGTGCGGGAACCCCATGGACCTAAAGTTTTAACAGCAAATGGCACAAATACATAATCTAAACATGAAGAATCATATTTGCGCTATTTACTTACTTCAGCTGCCTCCGATGCCGCCCCGGCCCTGACTGAAGTACCCCTTAGATGAGAGGCAGGCAAAGTGTATACACAAGTTGTTACCCAAACAAGGGCTTTGCCTCTCTCCGGAGGGATCAATGTTAAACGGACGGGTTTCTTACCATCGTCGCGAAAAATGCCACAGGGCCCTAAAATAGATTGAACATTGATGGAAACAAGAGCCCTACGGATGATGTCGTTCAAGGAATCGTGGTGGGAAAAACGGCCAGCACTTTTTTGACAAGAAAGCCCGTGGAGACCAGATTTATTTACACTGACACCTCAAGGGCATTGTTGTGGTTAACAAATCGGTGCTACCAGACGGATTCCTACAGCAATGTGTAAGCTTTCATCAGCAAGTAAAGTGCCCAAGTAACTTGATGGCAAAACGTAAGGTCAATAACTCGATTCTTTAGTTGAGACGCCCAGGAAACGGGCACGCTCTAAATTACATTCTAAAGATTGAAACGTATCTCTCTGTACTCTCCGCACCAAAGGAACATCTCATTGTTTTTGTAGGTTTACTTCCAGTGGGATATTTTCGTTGGAGCAGATAGATAGCCAAGACATCGTTGCCTCCTCTGCATAGGAAAGTTCTGAATCGTGATTAACAAGTAGAGCGACACTAGAAATTTTCCTTACACCGATACCACCAAAAGATAATATGATTGGAAGTACAGATATTTTTCGAATTGATCTCAAAAATCTCCAGTTACAGAAGTAAATTAATTCACCCATTTTTTTTATCATAAATATAGTCGTATTTCTTTACATTAAAGTTTTTTTTACACTTTCTGTGTTTTTGAAGTGAACGCATCGTCTTGATGAGGTTTGTTGGCAGCCTTGTACTTCCTGTCGTGTCTATGAGTACGCTGCCATTTTGAAACGGCAGTGCTTTTTGTTCGTGTGGAGCGTTTGCTCGTTGCGAAGCCTAGATCGTGTTTAAGTCAAGTTTAGTTTTATTTTATACGAACTCACTCAAAATGAGCTGGCAAGATTATGTCGATAAACAGTTATTGGCATCTAGATGTGTTACAAAGGCTGCGATTGCCGGTCACGATGGAAATGTCTGGGCCAAGTCTGAAGGCTTCGATGTAAGTTTTTAGCGCACTTAGTCTTAAGTGGTCAGTGTTTTGTCTAACTATCAATACGTGAAGATGTGTTCTAAGTGCATGAATTACCTATTTTGCTGCTTAAGATTGTTTATAAGGGTGGATGACGAATCCGGTAACTTGACAAGATGGCGACATGTGGTGGCTGTTAATTCAATAAAAAAATGCGAATATGAATATATCCCTTCTATTTTCCTATTGTACGTAATCAAGTTTAAAAAATATGTATAAATTGATAGCACATTATACTGCAAAATATTTATAAAGGTTCGTATTTTGAAGAATATCGAAATGCCGGCCGGTCGTGGTTATAGTTACACGTCGTCCCTTATTGTTTAGCATTATCATAATTCAATGAACTTTTTATCATTGTCATATATAAAACAAAGAAATTGAGAAAATGGATTGCCAATATTTGGGTCTGTTTTTTAATCTAAAACTACAAAAATGTTTAGTATCTATTGCTACAGTATCCTGATCCACGATTTTTAAGTAGTTCATTTATTAAAATACTATGTTGATAACGTTTTAATGTAGTCATATTTGTATTAGGGTTAGTTGTCTATTTATCGTTCAAGTAGGTTGAATGTGAAATATGCATATATTATTTTTTTCTTTATTCGCCCTACGTCACGCCGTTCAAAATAAGATATTGAAACCTATAAATTAAATTGTACAGAAGATATATGAAGATATAAGAGTGACGGATATCATCTACACTACAATATTTAAAATTTTACGAAGGACCCGCTGATTTGAATAAGGGTTTTACATAACAAATGATTTTAAAGCTTTACATTAACTTACCCTGAAGGTACTTTCTCCTTATAGACGAAAAATGCAAAGAAGTGAGTTATTTTCGTTGGTTAAAATTTTTGAATGAAAATTATTTATAGATCCGATATGTGTATATTAATTAAGTGATTTTGTATTCAAATAAAGTTAAATATGAAATGTAATTTGTGAAATTATTAATCATAAAGCTCTTAAACGAAAGCATAACTAAACCGTTTTATTTATCAATATTCGGCCGTTGTTTCTGAATTTCACAAAATACTAGTTGGTTTTTTGTTTTTCTTTTATAACCATTTCGAATAACTTCTAAAAACACGCATTTCGTTAAAACCTTTGAAGTTCATCTAACGTTGTCGGTACTACTCTTTAAAATTATATTTGCAACAATTTTGTATTGATGGTTTTACGTCATTTAATTACAAAATCTAAATAAAAATCCTTTATCAGATATCGAAAGATGAAGTCGCGAAGATAGTGGCCGGTTTCGAGAATGAATCACTGCTGACGGGCGGCGGAGTGACGATAGCGGGCACGCGGTACATCTACCTCAGTGGCACAGACCGTATCATACGCGCAAAGCTAGGCAAGGTCGGCGTGCACTGCATGAAGACACAGCAAGGTAAGAATGCTTACCCTATACAGAAAGGTCAAGTCCTTGGGAATAACAACATAATTCATCTAACTAACAAACATGAGGGTACTATAAAATTTAAGGAATAATAAAATAAGTTATATATTTATTTAATGTAAAACAAAAGTCAAAAACTCAGAAGTTTTATCATATTAACGTTTTGGCAATCAATCAATTCTTGAGTGCTTGTTAAAGAAATGTTTTAAAGCAAAGGTTTTCTTAGATTGGGTAAATTTTTTTGCGAAAAATTTTAACGTGTAAAATCAAATATTGGATAAGTAAGTACGTCGTGGTTCTGACTTACGCCAATCACCTGTCTGTTAAGCCCGAAGTACCGTTGTCCATCGGAGCAAACCTGTTTTCGAAAGGAAATCTCAGTTTGGAAACTTAATTGGGGTCGATCCGCATCACCTGAAGAACCATTGAACTGAAAAAGGGTTGACTTTCCCTCAAAGGTTAGGTCATTCATTAGCTCAAGCTACAATATTAATTTTTCTTTCATATACTACATTACTTTTGAGTGAGTAGATCGCTAGTTTATGCCCCGCGAAAAAGACGGACATTACACTTTGTAGCGTTTAGACGAATAAATATGTATAAAACATTTTGTGAAATTTATGCTTTATTATTTCTACGACATAAAATGTAATTATTATTTTTCTTTCAGCTGTCGTAATTTCTCTCTATGAAGATCCCATACAACCCCAGCAAGCTGCATCTGTAGTGGAGAAATTAGGAGACTATTTAGTTACCTGTGGTTATTAGAGGTAAAATGCTCTAGTTATCATAGTCACCTGAAAACATGCCAGCCTAGTTATTTTGTTATTGAAACATTAAATTTCTTTACAGATCGAAACGCGCCGTGATCTAAGAATACTATAAGATAAAATTTTTCCACAGGGAAATAAGTAACTGCATTTTGTATATTCTATGAAAGTGATAAGGACCGTTCATTTGTTTTGATATTCGATAAATTACGGCGGCATCAGTTTGGTGCGTTTAGTGGCTGCGCGCAGATGCGATTACTTTGCGGATTCTGGATACTCTTTTATACGCTCACCGCTTCCACAGAGTAATTGTTCTTGCGACGTGGTAAAATTTTGTATTTTAAAATTTTGCTTTTATCGACCAGTACAGTAAAGCATATTTCGCTTTGCAAGCAGGTCTCAAAGCATGGTGTATAGAGATTTTTTTTAGATTTCTTTTCAAGCCATCTGGTATTTGATGAATTTAACATCTCGCGTTTTAATGTAGGTATAATCGTGGAAGTTAGCTCGCAGAACGAGACATGTTTAGCGCCTGCAGATGCTTGACAAGAAATTTTAATAATCACGTAATGAAATTACTGTAACAATATACAACATAATTATATATGTAATTACAAATAAGCATTTTGTGTAAGGGCTTGTTACAAATTGAAAGACACTGTAACCCAAGTAAAATATTACGATTTTAATTAAAAAATCTCTAGTCCCACTGGAACCATCGTGTGAGAAATATTCGATACGTCAGTGTGAGGCGGCGACGTTTCGGCGTCGAGTCGTAGCGCCGCCATTTCGCTATGCTTCCTTTTTTAATTATGCCGCATTTATAATCTTGTGTAGTGAAAAATAAGCATTTGCATTCTGTTCTTACTGTATCTGCAGAAACTAGAAGCGCTCAATTATTCTGTATCCTCAAACAAGGCTTGCAGTAAACGAAGGGTGCATATTGTTTATATTTGATATTACTACTATAGCTTTGTACATTGTTTCTGATAAGCGATGGGAACTGTGTCTATCTTATAATAAAATGATTTGTATTATATATTATAGTTTGTTTTTAAACCCCCCCCCCCCCTCCCCCCAGTTAAGGGAAAATCAATAAGACTGATGTTGTTTTGCTAATGAACATAATTTATTTTCCTTTGACAAAATCTACAGTAATAAGAGTTAAGTACACTCGAATATAAGGATTGGTATAAAATGTTAAAACTCGTAGCTAATGTCTATCAAGTGATTTGGTTCTTCAAGATTACACACACGACGACCATCTTTCCTTGTACGATCTAATTCTACAGTAAAAAGAAATTAGTGGTTAACAATTCAGTAATTTTTAACAAAATGTTATGAAAAATTTTGTGTTCATAAAGCGTAAGTCCCGTTATTGGCTTTATATAAGGACGCCCATTTGCAGCGCAATAACGAAAATTTTGGATGAAGGTACATAAATTACTACATGTTATCTATCTACATTTCTATACTTCTATTTAGTGAGAAAGAAAGTTTAAATTGCACAAAATACATGTAACATCTTATAAATAAATTATGCGTTGTTTATATAACCTTACATCAACATCCCTATAACATTCGATTAAACGAACACCAAGAAGGTATACTGATTGATACTAAAAAATATAGGGCCAGATATAACTGAATTTATGAACATGTTTTATGGCAAACATTTTTTAATCTAACTCCAGTAACATCCTTCACGCATAGACCATTAAATTAATAATACATTATATAGGTTGAATGAAAACAAAATTACTTATTTTACGCGTGGCATGGTATACATACTTAAACAAGTTACAAATAATTACGTGTTCAAGTCACGTTTCTTTATTTCCTATTTGAAGTATCTACGGAAGAGACTTCATGGTTAAACCAAAGGAGTTGTCTCGTCACGGATGCTCCAAGGAGTAATGACGAGATTTTTTCCAGAAGCTTCGGAAAAATCCTTTACGTTGTTTCTGCCCTGGATGTTCATCACCTGTTAACAAACAAACTATAATTAGTTGGGTCGACAAGTAAAATAATAATATATTACGAATACGATAACAAGTTTCCTTTTGTTGAACAGAACTAAACAGATGATTTTGCTTTCCTGTTATTTTGTAATGTAGTAAATTATTAATAATTGATAATTTTCATACATTAGTGTTTTTCCTTTTCTTAATAAATGAAAAATAAGCTTTTTTACATACAGACTCTGGGTTGAGAATTGAACCCTTTCAATTTGCCTGACGGTCGATGTCGTATGTATCGTCGCTCGTGAATGCGCACAACGGAACTACTTTTTTTGTTTGACTTAAATGTCTACGTCCACGTCCATAATAAGGAATATTCGCATTTTTGTTTTACAAAAATTCCTTCCAATGGCAATCGGATACAACAATATTCAATTAGAACCGTATTGAACAATAATTCTTTAGGTATAAATCGTCCTTGGCACAAAACGAAACTTACATTTTAAAACGAGCAAGTGCAACAACCAACCTGCACTTTATATTATGATGGTGTGACATGAATTAATGTAAGATTGTGTTCAGTAATCGGATTGATTCTTCTCTAATATCCAGACCTTGATATTTACGCCATAATAATTGTGTATTTAACTGACGTATTTTGAAATTTAATAGGTCCTAGAGTAGCAGGTAAAACGTAATCGTCGTTAGTAGGGCGGCTAAGAATAGTGTGTATGTAGATGTTTTCCAGAACGTCCCAAATGCCGTACATACTGACTAAAATAACCGCAGTGATTCTGCTCCAATATTTCACAAATTTCAGAAAATTGGAGCATAAGTTGACTGCCGTCACGGGAATAAATTGTATTGAAATAAAAATCAGTGGATTGAATTCATGCAAACATTTTACAGTAAATCACATGTTAAAAGTCTATGTAGAATCTGCTGTCGGTAGTTGTACATGTAGTTATCGCAAAGCAGTCTATTTATAGCATGCGCAGTGGAGGCCTGTTGGCCTGCCCCATTCAAGTTCATTGGCTAGATACCCCGCAAAGATTGTGGATACGGCATGTGCTTGTATTTGATTTGTACATTTTTATACATATATAATTACACATGATAGACATGATGACTCCGTGGCGCAGTTGCCAAGGTATTGGGTTCGGCGTCAGGGGTCGTGGGTTCGATTCCTACACGGGACAACTATTTGTGCGACCCACAGATAGTTGTTTCGCACCTGGGTGTTTGTACTCGTGCAATTTATGTTTGTAAAACGTCCTTACAACACAGGGTAATGTTATCCTAAAGTGAGGGCCTAATTACAGTGATAACAGATGTATAAAGGTTAAAGAAATAAAACAGTTTGATCCTACACATTGCAATACAATACGGAAATTCGAATATTATTGATTAACATCAATTTCGATGTGGTTTATAAATAAAGATTATTTTAAATAACGATAGTTACAATTATTCAGTATATGAGAACATAAGCTCTATTTCTTTTACCTTTTAACTTTTCATAAAAATTTATCTAAAACAATATGTCGTTACATGGCATAGTTATAGTCAGTATGGATCCCGATCCGTAACTATACATAACCCTCGGGTTTACGGTAGGCTTATAGATTTTATGATCATAGTGCTGCCCAAGAAATAGAACATTTTATTTTAATATACAATAACTGCGTCCCATAATATAGACTTGATATGGTGCTTTAATATTTTTGTCATGCAATCAATGTAAGCAAGCGATTTTGGGGGTGGTTTCACATTTGAAAAATTGTCCGGAAGGTAACAATGATATTTCAAATATCTAATCAGGTCACGAATTTGACTGGAGGAAGTATGAAGGGCTAATCGGAGGCGGGGGAGGGAGGGGTTTGTAGAGGGGGAGGAGGGATGCAGGGTTCGTCGACACCGGCGAAGGGCAGTGAGGTCGGTCTCGCAGCGTTCGCTTTCGTCGGCGCGCGGCGGCGGGAGCCCTATTGATCGCAGCCTCCGTCCTCCCGCTACCGACTCTGTCCGAGTAACACGACATAGACCTATACGATAACCGCTCAGTGCGAAATCCACCCTCACAGGGTTTTAATTGCAGGAATGAACATCTTGAATGATGTCAGATCAAGGCTCCAACAGATGTCTTATCATTTTGAAATCTTACTTTTAAATCTGTTTTAAAATATTAAGCAGTTTGTATGTGTACAAATCCTATACTTTCTGAATCTTACTCGTACACATACATCATGAAATATCCAATACCCGATATACAACTGTTATTTTAAAACGCCTTTCATGTCCATAGTTTTGGCTTTGTATTCGAAATACCATATTAATTTGCCCGCACAAAAACTATACGTTATCGTTTATCTTATCTAAACGTTGGTTTAAAGGAAATTTTCTTTATGAGATTGTTTGAATGACAATGGTCGCGTATGAGATAACAGGTTATAGAAATTCAGAAGATAACTGCAACATTTACCTACGGTTGCGATAAAAGAAAGAAGCTGGTAGTGGTAAAATTTGAACCAAACATTTTAATTCTATTTAAGTAATTAGTACATGTATAATCGAACGTTTTTATCAGGCTATTGAGGTGTTTTGTGAAAGTTATAAAAGATAGCCCCGTCGAAAACCTTAAAAGAAATTAAATATTTTGAAAACAATTAATAAGAATGAAATTCTGGGGTTAAGATTGAGTTTGCAAACATACGTGGTTAAATCATGAACAAATAATAAAAAGGGTTATAGAGGATTTCATTTTAATTCTCATTCGAAGTGTGTACGCTTTGATGCTAATGTAAACAAACAGGGTATAGTCCTGGTGTCTGTAACGCAAGCTGAAGAGGTTAGAACCGCAGCAGCGGTTGATGTCGATTTCGATGTGGCCTTTGTCGCTACTTTATCCGATTTACAATATGAAAGCAAGTCGTCTATTCTATTCGGATAGTGGAAGGTAGAAAGAGAATATCGCGGTGTACATTTTTGTTGCCGTCATCTTTTGTAGCCTAATCGAAAAAAAGCAACGGACAGATAATCCTGCTTTAGTAGTCCGTTTTAAAAAATAGCGCAATGTTGATTTTGCAAAAGTGCCTACAGAACATAAAATGGCACAGGTACCAAAATAGTGGGAGGTACATTATGTTGTAAGTACGTACGTGAAATTTTGAGTTTTTGCAATTTAAGCCTTATGAAAAACCTACGTAGCATATTCATTTTACCATAATTGCTCGTTACATTACGAATGTAAATAAGCAATAAGTAATTTGCTTGCCATAGAATTAATTGTCGTCCCGAGAGCATTGCATGGCACGCCATTTATCGATCGTCGCGTGAACCCTTATCGTCTGCCTGATGTTCTCTACGAAGTAGTTTTATAAAAAAATAAATTAAATAATGAGTCCGCCTGTTGTTAGATACAGTGTGTACCTAAAGTAAGATATGCAGTTTATCCAAATGTAGAGTATAAAACGGAAATACAAAAACTTAAAGTGGACAAAGAAAATCAGGAGAGCTTACTCCGCCAATTTGTGGGGAAATCACACATAGACAAGTTTAGCAGTGCCTGTATGTCGAATAATACATATTATACGTTCGATACATTTATTATCCTATATTCTATATATATATAGATATATATCCTATATATTAATGAGAAAAAAGATAAATAAAACGTGATGCCATTGAACTTAGTTATACAATTACTGATAAATTTGATTAGGCATCAGGATACTACTCTGCATAGCTCACAAATTTTACGCAACGCAAAGTTAGATGCCACGCGCAAACTAAGCTTGTGGTTTTCGAAATTATATTGATGCTAAAAAAACGTGTCTAGGATTGTAGAGTTTACTTAACATAGTTGTGTAAAATTGGAACAGCATATCAAATGAATATGCAAATGCTATGTTATTTACAATTTTATCAACTAATGTATAACAATCGGCCGTTACAATTCCTTAAAATAATATGTAATCACTTTAAGCTTTTGTTAGTTCTGAATAACTTTAAATAATGTTTGATATTCGTGTTTGTTTTATTTTTGGCCTAATATTCATTCGAACATGAATACCCACGTCATGCAGTTTGGCAGCGATCGGCTTTGTTCAGTCTTTTTGCCGTTGGCATGAAGTGTCTGGGTTAATCCAATGTAAACTTATCAGATCATAAAACTTACAGCTATTTTATATTAAAAGAAACCTGTACTAACAAACTTTATTGTATCCGCAAAATATGTTAATTACTAAAATAAGGGAAATAATAAATATGAAGGAAATAAATGTATGTACCTGCTACGACTTACACCTACATAGATTATCTACATTGAAAAGCAAAATAGAACCAATATAGATTGTGCATTGCATAAATTTGTTTATCTGTTGTTAATTTTGTGTATCCTTTTATTCGTGGTGAACAATAAAAGTATTCATTAATTCATTCAATATATAAGAAAAAGTTTAGATAAATTAAATAAAGCCCTTTAGTTCTTCCTAATTTGTAACTACAAACCCACCCAGGCTTCGCACGGGTGCAATGTATTATACATATAAACCTGTACATATAAACTTATACATATAAACCTTTCTCTTCAATCACTCTATCTAGTAAAAAACCGCACCAAGATCCGTTGCGTAGGTTTAAAGTTCTAAGCATACATAGGGATAGACACAGCGGGACGACATTGTTTTATACTATGTAGCGATTTGTCGTTTAAATATTAAGTATGACCCCGTCAATATATTATTTCCGCCTATCCCTTAGTAGCGTACGGGCTTTTTCGTACGGATGTCTGCGAAGACCCTCAAGAACTGCACCGGCAGTGTGTCTCACTTCTCAACTAATCAGGGTGCCGATGCGGAACCGTCAACAGACCTTCTCCGACATAACTATCTAAGGCTGCAAGGCCTCCTCGTAGTGGCATTGCGCATACCGTTGCGCGCTCTCGTGCCCCTGAGCTTAATAGTTTCGCTTAAGGTGTCACTGTGCTACAGGACGGAGGCGATTTTATACGGTGCCATACAAGAATGTCTCGGGGCGGACAAAAAAAAACGAAAAAACAAAACATTTTGCACGAAGTTCTAAAGTCAACAAGAAGTTAGTAGTTATGATAAAACATTCCATGAATTCGATATTTTTCTAAATATTTTAAACGATTTAGGTACGTGTGACAAGAATTTGTATTTGGACTTCTTATTTTAAGTTTTAGATGCTAAATGGCGTCGATCAGTGTTAAATTTTGAAATATCCAGCTGTATGTTTCCCGTTTTAAGATGTGCTCCTAATGCACGCGTAATAATATTTTCCGTGTTAATAAATTGGCTCTAAATTAAATTAATTACACCGTCATGCTTACATCGCGTTGTGGGCTGAAAATCTACTGCATATGAATTATAATTTCTAGACAAACGGAGTAGTTCATTGAACTCGTTTCTAAGCAGGTAGGCACGATCATCTCGGCTAACGGTCAATTATCTTATCCTTTATATACGCCATTACAATTGGTTCTTCGTATCATAAAAAGTAAATTATTGTTACGACGCTTTTGAATTCCTAAAAAACTTCAAACAATTACGTTTACCTGTACCGAAATTACTATATTTAATGAGAAATGAGAAGATTTTAGGCAATTATTGCCCGCTTTCATTTTTGAGCATTAAAAAAAAATAATTAGAATTACTTTAAATAATGGCCCTCATAAGTGGCTTCAAGCTTTATAATGTATTAAAGAAAAAAGTTAACATATGCGCTTTCATTGTAAGTTAATTTGCAAATTGTTGAATGAAATAAGCGAATGAGTTTTAGGAGTGAAAACTATGTCGACACGTTTACTATGTTTAAATTTCGTGTGAAGGTATTTACTGGAACTGGTCCAAATGGTGTACATGTTTACCACCAGCTGGATACCAGAAATAACTATAAAGTTTAGTGGGCGGGTTAAGGTGCGGTCAAAAAGATGTTATGAGAAATAATGATGAACAAATTTGTATCGAATACGGATACAAATATGCATATAAAAGTATTTCTCATTTCTTTTTTAACTCAACGAGTGCAACCATCCATACTAATATTATAAATGCGAAAGTAACTCTGTTTGTCTCGCTTTCACGCCAAAACTACTGATTTAAATGAATTTCGGTACACAGATAGTCTAGAGCCTGAGAAAGGACATAGGTTATTTTTTAATTGAAAAAAACTTTAAAATATATGTATATTTTAAAGAAAGATATTTATTTAGGGGCTTCAACGCGAGCGAAGCCGCGGGAGAAGCTAGTATGTTATAAAATGAGTCATTCCAACGTTGTGGATTTATTAGCGAACACTTAGTGCAACGTGGTACATTTATCAACTTACGGTATATTCTAAGTATTTGAGTTTCATTTAACTTGATAACTAGTTTCAAGGCAGTCAATCGGTCGTTGACCCCGATCAATTTGTGACTATAGCACACTGTTTTGTTAATCTGAAAACATCCGAGATACTACAATGCAATGAGTCCTGGGTGATTTTCACAAACTATAGTTTATGATTAAAAGTATTACACTAAGGTGTAATAGAATAAACATAGTTATAAAAATCAGTTGATTCTTTTATAGTTTTCATGGTGATGTAACAATAAATACATTTATTAATTAAACTAAATGAATTAGGTCCACATTTAATTTGTCCTGCTGGCAATAAAGGTTGAGGAAAATTTGTGTGAAACGATGTCAATAACTACCATGTTGCTGTAAAACGCTTCAAAAACCAACTTTCCAGCAGATAATGGGACCGAGACAAAACCAATTAACGAATACCACGACACTTGGCTCACCAGATACGCGTAATGGATGTGTAGACTCTAACCAATTAAGCAGTTGTTATTTTGAAGCAGAGAAGGTGGCACAATGAGGTCATCGGCAATGTTAAACACGTTATTTTAGTTGTATTTTTAAAAATTTAAAATATGTTTATTATATTCGTAACCAACTTTTAACAAAAACACATTTTTAAAGAACCACTTACACTAAGGTTTTTTCCAAATTTGTTGGTTGGTTATTAACTGTCAAGTAGACAGAAATTAATATAGATTTTAATTATCAAATATTGAAAACTTTCCACTTGATTAGCTTTAAATTTTTATTATGACATCATTTTATGGAGAAGGAAATCATTATCATTTCTTGCGAACATTAATCATCATTAGCATAGAGTTCGATTTCATTGTTACATTCCTAAATGTGTTGCCTACCTATACCGATGACTAGACGGATGTTTCACTATCTGAACGTTCCCATTGATATGTCACGTCTGACGACATGGCGATATAACGTTTCGACGTTCTTTCGTATCTACTGCGTCGGCGGTTAGCAGGGACGCTTTTCCGTCTAACTTGGTGCTGTTGTGTTGATACCGTTTTAAATTTGTCCCGGCTTGATAATTTGCTTTGTTATATATTATAGAGCGTTATCGACGAATGGGCCATCCGTCGTACACGGACGGACGTGCGGAACGGAGCATCGCTCGCTTGTGTTTACATTAAGTGCCGTGCAGCCCGTTGTTTTGTCTCCCGCCCCTTGTGACGCGACAATTATTATTATCGTAATGATTGATGGACGAAATATAATAATAATTGTTATGCTTCGCGCCGCTGAACGGCGTCGACGTTATAAATAGAAAGGATATCGGTGGCGACGTGCGACCGTTGGCTGCGCGAGTACGATTTCGCAAACGAATGTTGGCGACGTCGAGTGTTCACGGATCGGGCGGCTGTGTAGGGTGAATTCTAATTTCCGCAGATACGCCGGCTGTCTTGGCGGGTCGTGTTCACCCCTGCAGAGAGGGGTGAGCGCGGGGGCGGCGGGGGGAGGCGGTTTACGCGAGGGTGGCGGCCGCTTCTGCGCGGTAGGGCGACACAACCCCAGGGGACGACCCCCGCGAGCGACAGCCGCGCGCCCTCCAAGCCGTTTCACCCATACCCGGCTCGATTATTCAGCACTCATTCAAGCTCTAACTCCCCGCTATTTCTATAGCTACGTTGCGGCGTCAAGCCGTATTAGTCGTCCCTATTATAGGTGCCCAAATTACATTTATCAATTATGATGTTCTTGTGGACACTAAATACTAACCGTTAGCGGAGCGTGCTGCTGGCGATGTTGCCTCCTTGCTGCGGGCGTTCTCTTTCTCCTTACCATTATTACCTGCGTAAAATAAAAAATAAAAAAAAATTGAGATCGATATTTGATATCAGTAATCAACAATAAGCATTATTGCCATCTCAAGATAGGACGAAATAATATTTAATAAGATATATTTATAACCCTCTTCATTTTCATGTTGCCCAGAACGTAGGTAATGAATGGTGAATTTTTAACATAACGCGTTCCATTTTCCTTTGACATAAATAATATTTGAGGTCGAGAATGATTACGGAAAAATAATTCATAATGGTATCAAAACGATATAACATCATCATATCGTAGGTTGGAACGCGCGTTATCCGGCGATATCACGGTGTAACATAAATACGGGTATTGCACAAGATTTATGGGTCCGGTGCAGTTTTAGAACTGGTTGCGTTCGATCTAAGCCGGAAATATGTGGACGCGGATAGTGGCAGGGCCGGGCCGGGCATAGGCGCATTCCCAGGGCCATCCTTTTTGCTCCGCTGCCCGCCCGACCGGTCCCCGCCGATCGTTCAACCCGCGTCTCGCAAATCGCAAATTCACAACTATCAACTTTCCCTCGCATTCTAACAAACGCTGATTCGAGATCTGTCGCAAGCCAAACTGACTTTGTTCTACGATTTGTCAGGATTGTATACCTCGTTATCTATGCAGTCATCAGCATTGTAAAGTATTCCACAGAGATCCTCCACGTTCAGAGAATTTGCTCTGCGGAACCTTTAGTTGTCTGTGTAATGTCGATAATTCGACATGAGTCCGGCAACACGAAGTTCTTACGATTTTCTCTAAATTGCGGCTTTTTGTCGGTCCTTTGCACAGTCCATTAACGTTGTGTCGAAACGATTGAAATGTTCCAAACAAATGTAGTTATCGATAAGTGCGCCGCTAAAATGATTGTCCAATTGCATCGTATCGAACTTGCTCGCGTTTGAGGCGAGCCGAGTCGACCTTGGTAGTGGCGTTGACTCGCACGGCCTCAAATCGCAACCAACGGTCGCGTCGGCAGGACACATAGGCCGCACCATCTGTACATCGCACAACTGTGTCGCACGCCATAACCGTCGGAGCGTAATCGCTATAAATAAAAACGCCGAACAGTCGGCGGAAACTCAATCGATTTCGTTCCTCCACTCTGCAATGTCAGCTGTATTCCTGTGTCGTCCGTCTCAACCGCGACCGCAGCGCGATCAGATTAGACCGCTTTAGCCAACTTCGCGCCGGTCCGCAACAGGAAAACCAATGTTGCACTCACCCAATGCAATCAGGGTATTTATATAAATATACCCTTTTGTTTGTTTGTTAGTAAGATTTACATGAATTGTCAATTAAATTTGGATCTTATTCGCTTCAAAATAACCGAATCAATTTGCAACATAGACCATTTAGCCATATTGTATTTTGAACGAATATGTGTTTACGGTTGCCGCAATAAAATTTGACGGTCAAATTTTAGATCGGTTTGAAACGCCGATTTAAACTAAGCGCTGTTGGTAATGGTCATAGACTGTAATGTCAAAGTAGCAAACCGATGTACATACATTTATTATTTTAATCTCTATTTGTATTTCAAAAGTAAAGTTTAAAGTGCGATAACACCATAACCTACTATATATATGGATTACATTTGGACAACAACTCTATAAAACAGTACTTAGCGATTTTTTATAATTAATTATGCTATATACACACTGTTCAGTATAAGTAATGAATCGCTTATGTAGTTTAGTAGTATCATTAGATAATATCATCTTCATTAAAATTAGAAGCGCACGAAATTAATGCCATATGATGGGAATGCTTACTACTACATGTCGTTCGATTACTAATGTAGGTACCGGGTGGTACATCTCAATGCAGTATTAGTAGCATACATGCATTACAGTGATATTTATTACAATTTAAAAATTTTAAATTTGTACTTAAAAGTAGGCACGAAGAGCCCCAAGTGAAGCGTGGCGCCTCGCCATATTGGATTACTACGAGGCCGTACTCATGCGTGTGATACGAAAGGATACCTAAGGTTAAGCTTGGTAATATCACGCACGACGACTTACAATATAATTGAAACTGTTCCAACGCCTCGGATTTTCTGCTGCATTTAACAAAGCTGTCTGTTTTGATATGTATGCGCGTGTTTCTAATAAGAGTGGAGATTCTTAAAGTGATAGTTTCAAACGTGAATGTTTATGAATAAAAATAAAAGAAGCGTACTCAACGTTATTGGACAAACGAATGTGTTACATAACGTTTATCGTGGTTCTGGTAAAATTTTACAGCTTTCAGTCTAATAGGGTAGACATAATAAGCCAAGTAATATAATATTGTGCAAGTAATATAATTTACTTTTATAATTTATTTTATATGAAAAATATAAACTAACTCATTGTTTTGTCTTATGTTCAGGTAACAACCGGATACTAACAAATGGTAATAGTCTAGTAACAACCTACCAACCATATGAAAGTCAATATTACCGTCTAACTATATTACTTACTTACTCCTTGCTTTATTCTACCTTGACATTTTATCACAACCAAGGCAAAATCATAAACCTAATCTCTATTAAACTATGTGGAATCGTAGATTCCTTTTACAAAATTTATCCCAACCATAGCAGCGATCATTATGTACGAGTTATACTTTTTATGCGACTGTACGGTGCCATATGGCGTTCATACTTCTCGACAAAGACGTGTCCATAAAAGCTTTTAGGTTGCTTGCCTATAAAAGTCGTTGAGTAGGTATACGCATGGCCGTATTTATGCTGATCTTATGGTTTCTTGTGAATGACGCTGCGTCTGGTGTTTTTTAATGTTGAATTTGTGCTCTTAGCCTGGCCGCATAGCATGAAAAATGATTTTAATCTATTTTACAAGTGTTAAATAAAACTGCTAATTACAAAATAATGTAGCCATTGATGATGTACTATGTTCGATTCACAACGTTTTTTGATACCTGTGTATGAAGTTTGTTGAAAATGCCTCGTGTATTCATGATATAACGCACATAGCTACATCGAAATCGAATGTTTTTTTTTTAATTGACAATTTCAATATTATAAATATTATATAGAAATGAAAAGTTTGTAAAAGACAGGTACCACGTTGGTATTAAAATGAATGACAAAAATTCAACATTAACGAGATACAAATATATATTTCAAAAAGCATGAAAACAAAAAGGCATAGTACCACTCAGTGAGTCCTTTATTTAACCAAAAGTAAAAATGATGTTGCTTTAAAATATTATGCCTGTGTATTAAATTAACATCTAAAATTCAGAGCTAAAGTGTGCCTATTAAACTTCTTATATCCGTACAAAACCTAACTGACCTAATGAAACAGGATTACTGCAAGTAAACATATTGATCTGCTATATTCTATCAAGCCGTAAAATCATGTTAAAAATTTATTTTAAGGTAAATTGGTAAAATGTTCTTAGTCTCTCTCTCTCTCTCTTCATGTCTGCCTACTGCGTAGATATGAGATTTCGATATGAGAAACGGTCGGCTTAGAGTTGGTATGTCACCGACCGGATGTAGTCATAGATTTGGTCGCAGACGGATGTACCGCCATTTGCATTCATATGGCGGTGTCGCGACAATGCGCAGAAGGGACTCGCACCGGAATAACGAATGGGATGCTCAAAACTTTTTTTTTTCTATCGAAACTATAGATAATTTTGAAACACGCTTTGTACGATGTGCGTTTTGTACATGTTTACCGATAATTTGTATAATGCGATTCTTTGCTAATTGTTTTGCGTATATTATTTAGGCGGCGATAAAACATGTATGATTTTGTGTGCATGTCTTTACATAAATAACTTAATAGAGCCGACAATAATTTTAGGTGTATTTTTAAAAATGAGAATGAACATCAAAATCTTTGGGACCTGTTCTCACTCTCTTCTAATTTCCAAAAGATATGTGCATGATGACACATCATTAGAAAGTCACAACAGAAAGTTATTTATTTGATATATAAAAAAAACTCTTTAATTATGTCAACCAAAAAATATGTTTTAAACCAATAATGAGTCAAGTTGTGGGCAATTGGCATTTTAATCAGCGTACTTTAGAAAAAGGGCGTGGATGCAACTACTCAGCGCTTAACATTAGATAGGTTACATCCGCTAAAATTCTTATATGTATATTAATAACTGATAAAACCTGTATGGAACAATATTATTAAAAGACTTCATATTCTAATTAGGTAATTTACACATTGGTCGAAGTTGCAATGGCAGAGTTACCATAAAACATGGCAAGCATCGTAGAAATTGCCTTATTCTGCTAACAATTTACATATGCTTTTGGTGGCTATCAAATTACTCCCATCTAATCAGTATTACTACTAGGTTGTATCCCTAAAAAATATATGACACATATTTGTGGGGATGACTCAGAAGTACAGTTGGAATCAAAGCTTTTAATACTTTTTGTTCTGTAGATAATTATATAATATTGTTTCATATGATATTTATGGATAACATTTATAATATCGTCTTATGAGCAAAAGGGTAATTAGTACGGTTTGGTATTCATTTTTAGGAAAAAAAGAGTTGAATCACCTAAGTCTGATTTTGAAAACGAAGTTTCATATTGTCATTTTTATTATTCTTGGTTGCATGGTTTACTCTGATCATTTCGTAATAAATAAAAAAACTACCTTATTCCACATTAATGTACTGAAGATTTAGCTGCTTCATATCACATTTTCATAGTTCAAAGTTTTATCCATTGTTTATGTGGGCATTCGAGTTAAATTATTATTAAATTCAGTAATCACAATAGAGGAAAACAACAGTGGAAGTGACGGATGATAAGACGATTTAATTCTCATAACCAAGCTGCAAAAAACATAATTTGACAACATACATAACTTTAAAAGAACTGGAAATTAACCGCATAAAGATAAATGTAGAGGTACGATTACGGCATCTATCGTTGATATGGAGTTTCTATCTGATTGTTTATCAGTTTTTGGATAAAAACAAAGCCGATGAAAAGCAAA